AATTAGCCACCGCAATGATTCACTGTGACAAGAAATGGGGAAAAGCTCACTTAACAACTGGCTGTTTTTCATGGCCTCCTTTTCAAAAAAAAAGTTGCTTTTAAAAAAAAGACTTCCTTTTTTTTAATTAAAAGACTTGTGGGCAGGTTGAATCTCTGGAGGTTTTGAGTGCTGCATATTTGTCATGGATCTTTTATTAGAGACTTTTTTTTTTGGCATTTGTTAAAATGAAGTCTAGTTTTCAATTTTAACTGTTTTATCCTAGGCAGAATATCCCTTAAGGCTGCCTTGGTTTTCCGACTTCGCGCTCATTTTGCTTTGAGCAAACCAGCCTGCCAATCGATGCCTGCCCAAAGTTGCCTCCAGAAGTTGTGGGTGCTCCAAGACTGCAGGTTTTAAAGAAGAATTTGGACAGCCACCTGTCTGAAATGGTGTGGGGTCTCCTGCTTGAGCAAGGGGTTGGACTAGATGACCTCCAAGGTCCTTTCTAATTCTGATATTCTGTTAAGACTATAAACCCCATAATCTGGAACGAACTGCCCCCAGAGATCAGGGTGATCCCTGATCTCCCTTCCTTCCGCCGTGCCCTCAAGACGTGGTTGTTCCAGCTTGCGGGACTGGCCTAAGGGATTTTAAAGGGGTTTTAATTACTTTTAATCTGATGAATTTAAATATTTCTTTTTAATCAATTTTAAATAGGTGTTTATATGTTTGTTTTTATCCAATTGTTAGCCGCCCTGAGTCCGCAAGGAGAAGGGCGGGATATAAATGTAATTAATTAATAAATAAATAAAATAAATAAATAAAAATCCTCAGCAAACATAGCCAACACATCTGAATGGTATGAATTTGGGGGGGCAAAGAGAAGCCCCTAGTTTGAAAGAGAGTTGAACCTGGAAGCTACAAAAGAATCAATGGTATTAGTATATCAAAATCACTCCTATCTATTATTATATTAATTACTGTTATCTAAATATATATACCCAGAAAATATCCTGTTTGCTAAGTATTGAAAATGTTATTGGGGGATAACCCCAATCCTGTCCCCAACCCCGCCCCAACCCTAACCCTGATCCCAACCCCAACCTAAACCCTAACCCCAACCCTGATCTCATTCTATCCCTAATCCTATAAAATTTAATAAAACTTTTTTTAAAAAATCACTCCTGGAGTCCTTTCTATACAAGTTGAGGGCTATATAGTACTTCTACAGATCTCAAGCAAAGTTGATTTTCAAGAGGTGACTTTTCCTTTCAAGCTCTATTATTAGCTTACAATTCACTCTAAGCTCTGGTTTGTTCGACAATCCACACATAGAATGTACGTCTGAATAAGCCTTCATCTACTACTTATTAATTGCAATGAAATCACTAAGCCCAAGTCAGATCGAATGATGGCTTAATATGATGTGTGAATTTAACCACAGAAGTACATCTTGAGGACTCTTCATTATCACCAAGAGGCAAGGGACTCATTATTTGTATTATTCTTAAATGCAAGGAGATGCCCAACTTCCAGAAGACCGAATCCCCTTTTGATGTAACACTATCAAAAAAGAAATTGACTAATGAGTAATGATTGCAACGATGGGCATTTCACCAGAACTGGAAGTCTTTCTACACCGAATAAAACTCTAGTAACTTTACTTAGGTGATAAACATTGCACAGTACATGACTGTTATGAGTGAGTTTCTAATTTTTCATTTAGTCAAACCTGAAGGTCTGGAAGAAGCACCAAAAGCTTGTGTCCCACCACGTAGCCCGAGTAATTACACTGAAAATGTGTCTTGCTCCTTCACCCCTGATGGCTGGACAGGTTGTAGATCACCTCTGGAGGATCCGAGAATGGATTTTGATCTCCTCCTGATGGTAGGAACCTTGTAGGACACCTCTGAAGGATCTGAGAATGGATTTTGATCTCTTCCTTGGTGGTTGGACACATTGTAGAAGATTTCTGGAGGGTCCAAGGCTTCATTACTTGGAGCAAAGTTATTTTTAAAAAATTGTTCCTCCATATTTTAAGGAATCGGGTGCATTAGATACCTGAACAATCGGTTCTTCCAAATCAATATAACTTAACAACCAAGTTTACGTGAATGTGATTTTTGTTGTCATCTCCAAACTAGACCATTGGAGAAATCTCAGAAGGAAATAATGACCAAGGACCACTTGCTTTTGGGAGGGTAAATTTTTATTGAAAATTGACAACATTAGAAAGGTATTAAGTTCAACAGTGCTGGTTCGCTCACGTGGGTCATGTAAATATATATCAAGTGCAGCTGTCCAATCACAACTGTTCATAACAAAATGTTTTAAAAAAAGAAGAGACAGGAAAAGGAATTCTTGGAAACCAGGCCATGCAGTGAATGGTTCAAATAAAGTCCCAAAAGTTCTTAGTAGGTACATTTTTAAGGGCAGTTACATGTGACTTGCAACGATAACTTTGAAAAACAAGAGGATGACTTTACAAATTGATTTTCCTTCACCACCTTAATAGAAACATCAGTTTTTCTCTCCCTTCTAAAAGAGGTTAGAACTTTGGGGATTAATTCACAACAATACTACTACTTAGGTCTTTTATACAATCTCTCTCTCTCTCTTCCTCAAAGGCTTTTAAGGCTCTTTGTGCATTTTAAGGATTCTTGCAAAGACAGCCGACATGAGTGATTTCTACAAGACAGGAAGCTGGATCCAGGACGAGAGATTTAAACAATGAACTGAATAGAAATAGATTTAGTGGATTTATGTATTTTTTTAATTAGGAAATATTCGTTGTTACTTTTTTTACTGAAATGGCAGATTATCTATGGGAGGTTATCTAAGCCCACCCACCCCCCAATGAAAAATAGAATTTCCCCTCTCTAACGTTCCCGACTGCCCTTTTTCATAGCGTTCAAAGTAAATATTCCTCAGAGGTAGCAAAGTCACGAGGGGTTTTTTTTCCTACGTGTTGTCCGTTGCATAATTTTTATCCACACCAACCAATGAAGGAATAGGACAATTCTTTTTTTTCCCCCTCTACTAGAAAAACACGATCCTGATAGGGAGGCCAAACTAGGAAGGGAATAACCATAATCCTAATCACAATTAAGTCCTGTCTCAGTGTAAAGTAGCCACCTCATTAATTGGATTGCAATATTTTGGGAGCTGGGCAAAATATCTGATGCTCGCCTTTCCGATTATTTTTCCCACCTTCTCTCGCAAAGCACAAGGTACCTTGGCTTTAAAAAAAATAAAAATAAACCCAACCTCCCCCCACACATGAAAAAAATAGGAGTGGGAGAAAACAAACCCAAATTTCTTTTTATTTATTCTGGTCTGCCCCTCCCTTCCCAAGCAGGATGGGAATCCCTACGTTCGCTCAAGTGGATGTCTTCTTAGAGATGCGGCAGGTGGAGACAGATTAGAAAAAGCTACAGAGAGAAAAAGAGAGAAAAAGGAAAGAAATAAAGATTTGTCAGTTAAACAGCAGAGAGCTAAGAGAGGCGATCAAAGGCAAAGCAGATTATTGACCACTTGAGGAACACAATGACACGGAAAGAAAACAAGCCAGTAAACCTATGTTTTTGCTACCCTGTTAGGAGCCCAAGCAGTGAAACACCGTCAAAAGAGGACAACCACATGAAATAGCAGGTGGTCCTTGTTTAGCGATCACAATTGGGACCAGCAACTTGGTCATTAAATGAAGCGGTGGCTAAATAAAACTGTGACGGTGCCTAGGATCGGACTTCAGCTTTCCTTTGTTTTGCAGACCTGTGAAGGTCGTAAACGCAAGGACGGGTTGTGAAGGTATTGTCTCATCACCGTTGTCGCTGCAGTTACTAAATGAGGCAGCCGCTAAAGGAGGACTACCCCCTTTAGTAGATAAGACTGCCGATGTCTTGGGGTGAAGGGAAACGCATGAATGCACAATACAAACACAACATATATATTTCAAATCAATGCAAACATTCAGAGAAAAGCCAGGCAGAATTATAGAGCAAGACTCTATGAAGGAGTTCTTAAATTGGTCATCTTCTAAAACAAAACCACAACCTGTAATATATTTAGCATGGCCTTCCCCCCCCCCAAACAGCGAAGAAGCTACAGGCGACGAATCGCTTGCTCACTGTTGGAAAAAGTTCAGGAACATGAACTATTTTATTTTTCAGGAACCCAAATGTTAACTTAGAAACCCAGAATTGGATCTTAAATATCCTGGCTCTCATCTCCTCCTCCTTTTCATGTTTGGGGCAATGGAACAGCTTTGAGCAAAAAGGTGTACAGAGTCCCCTGTGGATTTTAGTCCACTAGTCATTGCCGACTTTAAGGGTGCTGCTCATCTCCATTTCAAGGCCACTGAGCCAGCATTGAACAAAGACATTTCCGTGGTCATGTGGTCACAGAGCACTGTTACCTTCCCACTGAAGTGGTACCTACTTGCATTTGCATGCTTTTGAACTACTAGGTTGGCAGGAGCTGAGATCAGGACAGGAGCTCACCCCATCGTGTGGTGCTCAGCACCTTAACCATTGACAAGCTCAGCGCCTTAACCATTGAGCTACCATGCCACCCCTAAAGGGGTGTAGTCCCATATCTAATTAAAAACTGCTTATAAACCCCAGTGGCTCATTAAGGGGCTTTATCCATGTAATTCCTGCTCCCACTTAAAAATAAACGAATAAAGGCAGCAGTGGGAAATAACACAACTTTTACCATAAAGAGTATTCAAGGGGTTTGTGTATCCAGATACTGCAAACAATTTTTTTTTGTTTGTTTATTCGCCACTCAACTAGATTTTGATGACAGGCTTGTGTTAATACCACAGCACATTCATCATTCCATCCCTTGCTGATGGACATCCGAAAATACAACATCAACCTTCAGTTTGTTAGCAATTTGCTTGACGAGTAAACTTGGTGGGCTTGTTTACAGGCAAACCTAGAGTGGGCATCCTAAACAATCCACAGTGTAGAAGAAAAGATATAAAATCGGTCTTTTATATCAGGCGCGCGCACCATGATACAGCCAAAGCAGCAAATCAAAATAAATGTAAATTGTTTGCGTGGAATATAAAAATGATATTCTGGAAGGCCCGTGAGATGACCATGGCTGAACGGGAGCGCAATAAATAAAGTGACGGTCGACATCCCAGATCAGTATATTCAAAGGGGATTACTCAGTACATAGCCAGGGGTTACTGTAAAAGAAGGGTAACGACAAAAGAAAACAAAAAAAAAGGAAAACAAAGAATAAAAACAAAGCATTAACCAGAATTGTTTCAATGTTTATTTTTCTTTTCTTTTTTTAAAAAAGCCTCCCATCGAAGATAAGGACAAGACCCCCCCCAAAGGGAAGTAACATTTGAGAACATGTGAGGGGATTTCGTTCATTCAGAATGATTTCAGTGCAATGGGTTTATTTCCGAGAAAACCAAGGTTTCAGATTTGAAGGGTTTCCAAGGATATTGAAAATATGAACATCCATTTGGTGGCGCGGCTGAGAAATATACCCTAAACCAGGAGTCTTCAAACTTGGCCCTTTTATGACTGGTGGACTTCAACTCCCAGAATTCCTCAGCCAGGCACATTGGCTGAGGAATTCTGGGAGTTGAAATCCACAAGTCATAAAAGGGCCAAGGGCCCTGCCCTAAACTATTCATCGAGCTGGTTGTTTGTCTAGTTCTACACTGAGGGTAGGGGACATTTAATCTCAAAATCAGGGGTCTCAAAACTTGGCAACTTTAAGATTTGTGGACTTCAACTCCCAGAATTCCCCATCCAGACATGCTCGTGGATTTCATGCTGGCTAGGGAATTCTGGGAGTTGAAGTCCACAAATCCTAAAGTGGTCAAGTTTGGAGACTCATGTTCTAGAGAATGGACCGATAGTTGGTCATGGGTGGCCTGTCCATCACCTTTATAGCTGGGACCACCGAGTAGGAAACATTTTACAATTATGGAAGACGTGGATTCGAGAACAAATATGAGAACAGGATACCAAATCCAAAGACAGAAAGACATTCAAATGGGCTTTCCCTCACACATATCTGTAGAGGCAATATCCTTGCTAGTAATGACATAGAACTTCCTCTTTCAAGTTATATTTCAATTAAAATCAAGGCTAATGGACGGAACAGCTGGAACATGCCAATGCTCTCTCTCTCTCTCTCTCTCTCTCTCTCTCTCTCTCTCTCTCTCTCTCTCTCTCTGGATTATGGTATTGATTATAGATTGGCTATAGACTCTAGTCAGGTGTAACTCAATGGTAAAATTCTGGCTTATACATTGAAGACCCAAGGTTCAACATTCAGGATGGAAAATGCTAAACACAGCTCCGGTTACATCTTCAAATTCCTATTGCTGCACTCATTGTGTTTGTAACAGTCAAGACGGAGAGAAAAACGAAAATCGGACAAAACTCTGCTTAAAAATATCCTATAAAGCTCTTCCAAAAACAAGCCAAGAGAAAAAGGAACTTTTTAGGCTCAATCCTTTTTTCTCTCTCTCCCTTTGGCTTAAGGAAATGCTGATGCTGGACATTTTGGAGACATCAGTCCTGAGAGAAACTGCAGGTCAACAGGATAAAAACAAATCAGTATTTGGAGCTTAGCTCATCAGAGCCAAAAAAGAATTGCCAAATTCTTTGACTCTTTTTGTATTCAGGAAAACAAAAAACCAGAAAAAAATGCAGAATATAAGAGGAAGATGCATTAGAAAGAAAAGGTACAGAGATGAAATGCATATTAATTTAAAATATGGATTTTTTTTTCTTGGGGAAAGGTCTACACAGGAAGCTTGAACTGAAAACAAACAACAGTAACCAAAAAGGATTAATATTTCTCTCAATTAATTTAGGCTAAATAAGGTTTGAACCAGAGATGGACAACGTATTTTGAATCCAGTGTCACTCTGGGAGATACCAGATGAGACAGCAAAACCCTTGGTTATATATTACATTCAAAGGTTTGTGTTTTATTGAAAATGAACATACAGTACGTATCAACTGTGATCTTCCTATTCTGGAACAAAATATAAATAGTTGACTAAAAAAACCTGACTTTAAGGCTTAATAACACTCTTAATGGGGGAAAAAATGACCGCAATGAACTAAAAACAATATTCATCTGTCTTTTAAACTCCTTGAGCCTGTAAGCTTATAAACCACCTAGCAATTTTTAAAAGGGATGCTTCACATTTAAGCTCTTGTAACACTGGCCAAGAAATGCAAATAAGCATCAACACAATTCTGGCATCGCCACAGTCTACTTGCCCATCTCTGGTATCTAAATTATAAGAGGAAAGGGAGAGAAATGGTTAGTTTTTGATTTTGTTTAAACATGCTTGAATTCTACCGCATTATATCTGCCACCTTTTTGCTGCCAGCAGATTGCAGCTGGCAGTTGAGGTGGAGGCAGGAGAACGCATGCGCCATGCAAAATTTCCTAGCCCAAATCAAAACTGGAATGGGAATGGCTGGAAAGGATCTCCCTGCCCTTTAAAAAGGAAGAACCAAGATGCCTTGTTCTCCAAGCCTTTGTTTGCCACCTATAATCTGAGCCTTCTTTGACCCACAACTAGCATGCTTCAGGGCTGAACGTGGCAACCCGCCAAAAGCAATTCAAAGCTTAACAAGGACTCACAATGTTTATCCAAGTTCCTCTCCAGCCCTGGGTTACATATTCTGAGACCAGGATAAACAAGTCTATTGTTTGGGCCCGTTTTTCACATTGCTGATGTGGTTCCTGAGGACAAACTGTTGGTTTTTCTCCTTTCTGCTCTTAGCTCGTCTTTCATTCTGGGCACAAACTATTCTGGAAGGGTCCTTTAAACCCCAGAAAAACTTGTTTAAATTACTATATCAGGCCCACCCATCGACTATTATAAAAGGTCCCCAGTGATTCAAGTAAGATTTCATCCTAAACAGCTGGAAGATATATTTTTTTCCCAAGTACTGGAAGGTTTAGTTATTGTTGGTTCTAACCAGCTTAGCCACTAAAGGCTAATAGCGCTATAAACAGCCCTCGACTTACGACTGCAATTGGGATCAGAATTTCTGTGGCTAAGCAAATTGGTTCTTAAGTGAATCACTATGGATAAGTGAATCTTGAGATCGTTAACAAATCTGGCCGGCTTCCTCATTGACTTTGCTTGTCAGAAGTCAGTTGAGGAAGTTGCTATTGCTTATGGCTATTGCAGAATGCTGCAACCATCGTAAATACATACCCAAATTTTGATCTCATGACTGTGGGGATGCTGCAATGATTGGAAGTCCCTTTTTTTCCCCAGTGCCATTTTTGTCTTCGAACTAATAGAATGTGTGGTAAGTTGGGGACGGCCTTTAATTTTTGCACCATGTGAATTTAACCTTATCCTATCCAGAATGAAGGGGAAAAAAAGTCCCTTTATGAACGTCAGTTACTGCGTTATGGAAACCAGCATCGGGCACCCCAAAAAAAAGGGGGGGGGAGGGAAGGAGGAAGGAACTGATGCATTTTGTAACAAAGATTTTAATACTTTTTTTTAAAAAAAAATGTAATACTTAAAAAAAAAAATCTTTGCGGCAGTCCAAATAGCCGATGTAGAAGGGAAAGGATCTTTTGCCTGCGTTCACCTTACTTAGAAGAAAGGGTGCGTGTGTTGATGAGGTCTGTGTGTTGGGAATGGCCAAAAATGCTAGGAGTCAGACGATTCAGGAGGCTTGTGTCTGGTTTGGCACAAGGTGTGTTTGTGGATCCCACTGCCTGGCCTTCTCGGTTTAGTCACAGCTTACCAGCACAAGGTGCCGTCATGCACCATGCATGCACCATGCAGCAAACAGCAGGGATTAACTGAAAAATAGCACACAAATGACAACTAAGAGGAAGGCAAATTTAGCACACTGAAAACGTAAGGGAAAAAGAAATAAAAGATTTTTTTAAAATAAGCCTTGATTTTTTTTTTCTCACATTACTTCAGCAGCGGGGGAAAAAAACTTAAAATAATTTTTGCAGGTAGCCATCTGGGGAAGACTTGGTGAAAGGGTAAAAATGGAGAAGTCGGGGAGATACTTCTATTTTTGAGAAGGCCCGCTTAGTTATCGTTTTGCAACACGATAAAGTTAGGAGGATCGGTGGATTTTATTTGGCCTGCTCAGTTCTCGTCCCCATATGTCAAGCATCAAATGGAAGCAATGACCCTGAAAGCAGTGTTGGTCCACCTTAGCAAGATTAAGATGTGTGGACTACAACTTCCATAATTCTGGCTGGGGAGTTCTGGAAGTTGAAGTCCATACATCTTAAAGTTGCTAAGATGGGAATTCTGAAGGTTGAAGTCCACACGTCTTGAAGTCGTTAAAGTAGACAACACTGTCTTACAGCTTCCGCCTCAGACTGAAGAGCGTTAGTGGCTCCAACTTTTCAAATAATGCAAACTGAGAGAGTTATTGTCTTCCTATATGACTGGGGCAAAAGCCACCTGTGTCCCTAAATGGGTGACTCTTTGAGGTGACAGAAGTCAATGGTCTGAGGAGAGTGAGGAGCACCTGGCTTTAAGGTCAAACTTCCTTTCATGAGGTGAGGTAAATCAGATGGAATCAACAGTGTCACTAGATGACACGGTTTAACTCCAACTTGTGTCTTTCTGACCAGCCAGTTCTGTAGGTTAGATGGGGCGGTTTTTATGATGGGAACCAATCATTTGGACTTCAGAGAACGTCCGCCATCTTTCAACTAGCAAAGCCCAAGAAACGTTGCTACCAGAGGATGGGAAATCGACTAGACCAGTGGTTCTCAACCTGTGGGTCGGGACCCCATTTGGGGTCGATTGACCATTTCACGGGGGTCGCCAAGCAAGGCTGTCTGCCATTTTTTTTGTCCGCCATTTTTTCCCCCCTTTTCCGGCGAGTGCCTTACCTCCCTTGGGCTGGGCCAGCTGGTGGTCGGCCTGCTCCGTCTCTGCCGCTTGCCAGCTATGCCTCGGCCGGCGCAGGGGGCGGAACCACGCATGCACGGCGCTCCCGGGCAGGGAAAGTCCTCGACTTACGACCGGTTGGGTAGTCCTCGACTTACGACCGGTTTAGTCCTCGACTTACGACCAGTTTAGTCCTCGACTTACGACCGGTTTAGTCCTCGACTTACGACCGGTTGGGGTCGCGGCATTAAAAAGGTTGAGAACCACTGGACTAGACATTGATTAAACTGGTTGAGGGACAACTCATGAGATCCTACCAATCTATCTATCCATACCCTGAACAGCCCAGCTCCCAAAGAGGATTTTGAAAAGAGGTAAGGCACGTTGGTACCCCAAGGGTGGTAAAATGACATCAACTGTGGAGAAAAACAAGGAGGGAAGAGGCCAAGGATGCCCACTTACTTTTTTCTCTCCTTGTCCCTTTTCAGTGTCTGTGAACCTCCTGCCTGCTGAGTCTGAGACTGAAGCAGTTCAGCAGCTGTCTTCCTCTGCTTAAACGCGTTGACTTCATCGTCCAGGGATTTCTTCTTATCTTCCAGCTTCTTCTTCTCATCCTGATGCAGTTTCTTCAGACGATCAAATTTCTCATGGAGCTGGAATAAGGGCACAAAGGCATACAAGTAGATCCAATTCTCAAGGGGAGATCCTTGGCAGAATCAGTGACATCTAGAGTTCATCCAGGAGCCAAGAGGTTCCTCAGAAACTTACGAGGGGCCTGGAATAAAGTGACCTGAAATACAGACAGTCCCAAAACACTTTAGGAAGAGAATTATGGGGTTCAGCCATCCCATGACTAACTTGCTTTGGGAAGAGATTGCACACGAGGGACAGAACCTTGAACAAAAAATGTGCAGCTTGGGGTGGAGCAGATCTGATGTTTGAATAGCCTGCTAACCAAAGTAGCTGAGACAGAGATACAGAAGTGATAACATCAAAGCTCAAGAGAAAACTTTGATTTAATTTAAATACTTCTCTGTGATAGCACAACTTGCCTTAAATCTCTCACAGTGATGTGGCATTCTGAGAAACCTCTCTCTGTCTGCCATTATATTCACAGATATTCTCTCTTTGCTTTGCATAGAGAAAAAAGAGTCTGCAAGAAAATAAGGATTGAAGACCCTACTCATTTAAAGCGGGGAACAGACCTCTGGGTGGTAAGACCTGAGATGTTGCTTTGGGGAGGATCCCACAAAACACTTAACGCAGGTGATGCTGTGAGATGTGCAGCTTGATTAAACGAAAGCTATCTTGTGGCAAAGAAAATAATGCGTTTAAAATCAGAAACCTCGCTCAGATCTAAACCGTTAGTCACCTCGGTCATGACTGATGCAGTACCAGTTCAGCCTCTCTGTGGACCCTCGTCCATTCAAGAGTCGCTTCAAAATGAGATGGGCAGCAAATACATTTAATCAGTCAATCAATTCACCTCTTTTTCAGCCTCTTTCAGCTCCGCTTCCTTTTCTTTCACCCTCTGGACAAACATCTGTCTCATTTCCTCTTCTTTCTTCTGAAGTTCTCCGAGAAATTCATTCCTTTTGGCCTCGTAGGTTTCTTGTAAACTACAGCAAGAAGGAGGGAGGGGCAACATTTGAACAAGAGGAAAAAAACCCAGCCCAATCAGTTTGAATCAGCTTGCAGCTCACGTAATCAAAAACCTATTCATCCTCTTGGTTTATTTTGGGAAAGCCCCCTCCTTCCACAGGTGCCCCTGATCTGGTTTAAACAATACCTGAATGGCTTGCTGTCTGGATCGGAATCCTTAAATCCCATTTCTTCCAGTTTACATCGCCGATATAATTCATAATGGCGCGTGTGGGTTTGTTCGCGAAGATCTTCCATGTTTACCCGGATCAACATCTCTCTGAGTTTTACAAAGTCACAGTGGGCTTCGTTTTCCACTGCATGGAGTAGATAAAAAGAGGGTGGCAGATCAGTGACTGGCTGGGGAATTCTGGGAGTTGAAGTCCATCTATCTTCAAGCTGCCAAGGTTGAGAAACACAATGACCCAATAACAGAATAACAGAGTTGAAAGGGACCTTGGAGATCTTCTAGTCTAATGCCCTGCTTAGGCAGGAAACCCTATGTCTTTTCAGACAAATGTTGTTCAATCCCTTCTTAAAAACCTCCAGTGTTGGAGCACCCACAACTTCTGGAGGCAGGTTGTTCGACTGATTAATTGTTTCCACTGATTAATTTCTCCTTAGTTCTAGAGTTGCTTCTCTCCCTGATCAGTTCCCATCCGTTGCTAATTGTTCTTTCCATCCAATGTTTCTTATTGAATAGAAACATGAGTCTAAAATTTATTACACAGGTGGGACGTTTTATGGAACCTTCTATTGTATATGAACCTATCTTGTTCAAGACCAGCTGCACATGATCAAGCTAACACAACAAACATTTTGTCAAGATGCCACCAAGATCTCTTGAACTAGCCACCTTACTTACCCTGCACAATCCCCCATGGATATTGACGTGCCTTCATCATTTTATTTCCTATCTTGACTTCTTCTGTGCTACCAATGATGGCAAAGGGTAAATGAGCCTGGAGCACCCCAAGAAAAACAGAGAATGCATCTTTAATATTAGATGACGTGTCAAGCATTTCCAGCAGGAACCACAATATTATCAAATGGGGGTGGATTTTATGGTTTATCCCAATTGCAAGAGACTACAGTAAGGTAATGCTTTACATACATGGTAAATCTGTAAATCGTACCTCTCTACTTGCATTTTATTTATTAATTTTTATTCATTCAATTTTTATAGTCGCCCAATTTCTATAGTTGCCCAACTGGCTTACAGTTCTAAAATTATAAAACTATTAAAACAAAAACAATAAAACAGTAAAAACATCCAGTAAACTTTAGTAGAGTTGTTGGTATTTTTATTCCCCCCCCCCCCTATTCATGTTATATCTATGTTCACTTAGTTATCTGATAATGTGTGCTAATTATAGTTCAGTAGTTCAAAACAAACTAAAATCAAAATCAATATTCTTTCAACACCATGGATGAAGGGAGGAACAATACAGAGGACAAGGCAGTCCTGCCTGAATCTTTTTTCCAAATGCAACATTTAATCCAGGAGCTATTATGGTTACTGCAGTATTATCTTACATTCATGGTTCCATTTATTTCTGACACAGATTCATCGTCAGTAGGGAACTGATAGATTTGCACCCCGTTGCTCACGAGTTCACTGGTGATCTTAATTTTGAATTTGGTCAGCTCGCTCTTGGAGATGGCATCGGATTTGGCAATAATAGGAATGATATTCACCTGCAGGAAATCCCAAAGGAGAAAAGAAGCATTCTGAACATTTAAATAACATCAAGTTGGACTGCATGAAAATCCCCAGAGCCATTTTGCCAAAATGTCAGGAGAGTGGAAGAAGGGATTCTCCTTTATATTTTCCTGGACTTTAAGATAGATAGATAGATGATAGATAGATAGATAGATAGATAGATAGATAGATAGATAGATAGATAGATAGATAGATAGATAGACAGACAGACAGACAGACAGACAGACAGACAGACAGACAGACAGACAGACAAGTAGATAGATAAATGATAGATAGATAGATAGATAGATAGATAGATAGATAGATAGATAGATAGATAGATTAATAGATAGATAGATAGATAGATAGATAGATGATGGATGGACAGGATACAGAGAGAGAGAGACAGAGACAGAGAGAGAGACAGAGACAGAGAGACAGAGAGAGAGAGGGAGAGAAGAATTAAAACTTAATAGGAAATATGCACAGTCATAATTCTTTATACAAGAGGCAAGATTTTGGTTAGTGATCTATTCCTTTTCCTTACATTTCTACCCAAAAATGGGATAGCATATGGTTGCAATTACCTTTACATGACACACACCCATTTGAGGTCTGCATGTCATGGATATTCGATGGCATAATCAGTTTTCCCATGCCACAGGTTGTCCAGTTCTGATTTAATTTAAGATTATCCATTCTGATAACCCAGTGTGGACTCTGCTGCTCTTATCTGATCATTCTCTGGGCTCAATCTTCCAATCTTTCTTCCCACAGAGCATCAGACATCCTTAAACTTGCTACCGGATTCTGTTCAAGCAGGACTGAATTAAGAGTTCTGCTCCCAAATCGTACAATCTCCAAACGAACCAATCTTGTATAGGAAGTATAGGAAGCGTCACAAGAAACCTCAGAAGTCACGTGAAGCGAGAGCATGAACAGGACCTTCTCCTCTGATGGCCTTACCTTACTGTCCAGTTTCTTCATGGTGACCAGATCCAGGGATTTCAGAGAATGTCCTGTGGGAGCGATGAAATACAAGCAAGCATGGACCCTGGAATCGTGGTAATTATGCAGCACCCGCTTAATTTTCAGCTCCTCTTGCAGATAGGCTTCAAATTGAGTATCGATGAATTCTACAATGGGTTTGTAGCTTCGTGGAGGAAAAAAACGGGGAAACAGAACACACGTTAATTCTTTTCCGGTGCTTCCTACATTAAAAAAAAAACAAAGCTTCTTTTGTGCAACTTCTTTCATCTGGTAATTCTCCAGATGGTTGGGTGACTATACCAGTCCCAGAATTCAAGACTGGACATCATTTCGCATGATTATAATGCCACCCACGTCCACTCCCTTTCCTGTTCAGCAATTCATCTGAACATCTGAACATCTAAGAGACCTGTCTGGATTTAGCCAACAAGGCATTACCAGATTTGGTTCTCAACCGTATAATGAAACAACAGAGTTGGAAGAGATCTTGGAGGTCTTCTAGTCCACCCCTCTGCCCATAACAGGAGACCCTATAGCATTTCAGACACGTGTTGTCCAATCTCTTCTTAGAAACCTCTAGTGTTGGAGCATCCACCATCTCTGAAGGCAAGCCTTTCCATTGGTTGATTGTTCTGACTCTCAGGAAATTCCTCCTTAGTTCTAGATTGCTTCTCTCCTTGATTAGTTTCCATCCGTTGTTTCTTGTTCTGTCTTCTGGGGCTTTGGAGAATAGATTGATCCCTTCTTCCTTGTGGCAGCCCCTCAAATATTGGAACGCTGCTATCGTGTCACCCCTAGTCCTTTTCTTCGTTAGACTAGACATACGTAGCTCCCCTCAAGATGAAACCATCCAGAAAATAAGCCCTGGTTTCTATTTCATCGTGGTCAAGGCCTGCTTACCTGTCCTCTTTGTTAATCTGATCACCAAAGCCCACCGTGCTGACAATGGTCAGCTTCAGATGAACGTTGCTTTCCTGCAAGTCGTAGGAACTGGATTTCAGCTGAACTCCCGGCTGGGAATGAGACGCTGGGTCTCCTTCAAACTTGGTGTTGAAGAGCGTGTCCATCAGGGTTGACTTCCCGAGGCCCGTTTCCCCTTGGAGAGGTGAAAAACACATATACTCACACATGTTTTATTTAAAAAGGAGTCTAAAGCGTACGCCAGGGGTAGTCAACCTTGGCTTTTTTATGACTCGTGGACTTCAATTCCCAGAATTCCTGAGCCAGCTTAGCTGGCTCAGGAATTCTGGGAGTTGAAGTCCACGAGTCATAAAAGAGCCAAGGTTGACTACCCCTGGCGTACGATGAAATCTAACAAATAATAGCAAATGCAGAGTGAACCAAAGAGCACATGTGATTTCCCCCCCTCCTTTCCAGTATTTACACAGGCTAAATATGTGATGAGAACATTATTTATTGGTACAGTATAGTTTACTTGAGCAGGAGAATACTTAATGCCTTAAGGAAGAAATTCTGAGATTTCCACCTCAATAAACAAAAATAAACAATCAGTATTTTAATTATGAGGTCCTTAGTGCTCTCTGCGCTTGTTTGCTTTCTTGCAGACATTTCATTACTGTACACTGATGATGTTACCTAGTTGGGTAATGAAACGTCTGCAAGAAAGCCAGAGAGCACCAAGGACCTCAGCAGTTGAACCCTCAGCTACAAATATTCTCTTCTATCGGTGGCTTAATAATAACCAAAACAAAAATGGTGTGCAGGATAAAGTGAGGACTTTTTTTTTTTTTAAATGCACTTCAGTTGAAAAAAAAATAAAAGGTTAGATTCTTCCTACTCCTCAAATTTGGAATCAAACCTATTTGGGTAGCTATGAGGCTCCATCAAACGCAAGCAAAATAAATTGTTATGGCAGGTTGTGTTTTTCTTCCCTACTTTTTTTTTTTTGTTAACACAATAATTCATTGACATACATTTCCTGCATCACAGAACAGGGCAGAATTTGCCCTCAAGCCATAGGGGGAGGTAGGGGACCTAATCTAGTCCAAATAGAAATGGCATTTCCAAGCACAGAGACACACACAAATGCACCTCAAAGCAGAGCAAAAAGGGAGGAAGGGCAGAAAAAGAAACACTGATGTATGGATTTTGGAAAAGGAGTTCGAAGACTGTGATAGAAGCATTCACATTTGGTTTTTTTAGTAACTATGTTCTTCATTATTTTTAGATTCGTTATACTTGCTGTTTTTTTTCATGCACATATACACACACGTAGAGAGGAGAATGTAATACTTCTTTTATTCAATAGCTCGTTTGCATCTGGCCTCAGGGATGCAGTAAACAAATTTGAATTTAGCAACGTGAAAAAAATATATTTTTCATATTTTCTTTTAAGACAACCTCACCTCTCTCAGCCCTGGTGTGAGCTCCCAGCCTTTTGCAAAACCGACACATTCGACATTACACAAAATGATTGTCGCTATTAGCAATTCAGCAATTAAAAGCCATCCTTCCAGTGAGCTCTAGAAATGATTTTTACCCGGCTGTAGAGAAACAAAGTGGCACTTATAACCATCTAATTGATGAAAGCAAAAATGCCAAGGCAACACAGGAAGAAGCAGAATACAGGTATATCATAAAAAAAAAAAGATAATCCTCCATCTGGGTATAATCCGTAGCTTTTCAGAAGAATTTCCTTTTTTAGGTTATTTTTTTCTCCCTGCAAAGCCGAGGAAGAGGCAGGATCCACTTTCAGGAGAAATACTGAGCAGTGGGGAAGGGTGGAGGAGAGCCAAGAGGCAGGCACAGATTTACCCCTAAGATCTGCGAGAGTCTTTGTGCAGACATGAGAAATAAGAGCTCAAGACAAATACCGAGAGAGAGGAAAAATGTCTAGAGAGATCATTCTCAATCATCTAGGATGTGATGGTCCTTTTTCCAAAAGGCAACTGGACTTTCTTGGGGGTTTTTTTTTCCTTTGAAAACATTTGGCTTCTTATTCAAGAAGCTTCTTCAGTTCAGTGCCAGGAGAGACTGGGTCTCTAGCACTGATGATGTTACTTAGTTGGGTCATGAAACGTCTGCAAGAAAACCACCAGGTTCAGAGAGCACCAAGGAACATACGGTCCTCCTCCTCCTCCTCCTCCTCCTTCTCTGCCACCAGTCCTCCTCCTCCTCTTCCCTCTTTTCCTCCTCTTTCTTCTCCCCCCCTTCTTCTAGCACTGATGGTGTTACCTAGTTGGGTCATGAAACGTCTGCAAGAAAACCACCAAGTTCACAGAGCACTAAGGACCATACGGTCCTCCTCCTCCTCCTTCTCTGCCACTGGTCCTTCTCCTCTTCCCCCTCTTCCTCCTCTTTCTTCTCCCCCCCTTCTTCTAGCACCGATGGTGTTACCTAGTTGGGTCATGAAACATCTGCAAGAAAACCACCAAGCTCAGAGAGCACCAAGGACCATACGGTCCTCCTCCTTCTCTGCCACCAGTCCTCCTCCTCTTCCTCCTCTTCCCCCTCTTCCTCCTCTTTCTTCTGCCCCCCTTCTTCTAGCACTGATGGTGTTACCTAGTTGGGTCATGAAATGTCTGCAAGAAAAACACCAAGTTCACAGAGCACTAAGGACCATACGGTCCTCCTCCTTCTCTGCCACTGGTCCTCCTCCTCTTCCCCCTCTTCCTCCTCTTTCTTCTCCCCCCCCTTCTTCTAGCACCAATGGTGTTACCTAGTTGGGTCATGAAACGTCTGCAAGAAAACCACCAAGCTCAGAGAGCACCAAGGGACCCAAAGATCAACTCAGAGCTATCAATGTTCTCTTTTATCGGTACCTCCACATCTAGACAGCCTATGTTTTGCCCAACAAATGTCAACAGTCCATCAATCCAATCCTGTCCTTACCCTACGCCTACCCAGAAGGGTTTGATTCCAGTAAACCATCCAATTGTTTGCTCTGTTACCGATTTATCCTTTGAAACAGGCTATCTCTGGTTTCTGCTAGCATGGATTGGCAAAGATTTCTATCTCAGAAGCTAAACAGATGACTATATTGGACAAGTTGAGACAACCAGTTGATAAAATAAACAGGTTTCCTGCATCCTTTCCAAGGGCAATTTTTCTGTAAAATCTCCTTCCATCAAAAGAACCAAAAACATCACGAGATTTTGATGACGTGCAAATCCGCATCACCCCTTACAAAGTGGTGCATTTTACACGAGGCGCCACTCCTGATCCCAAATTAGAATTTCTTTGTTGCTTTTTAAGGAAACCCATCAGCCGATCCAGTGTCGCTTTCCCACAGAATATTCTGAGCTTTTTCTCTTAAGGGAAAGAATTTTCTTCCAGTTTTAGCTTTCTGTCTCCAGGATAGGAGGAGGAGAAAAAAAAAAACGGAGGGGGAAAAACATAGACTATATATCTTTATTTCTGATTCATTTTCTTCTTTCTCTCCAAAGCTATGCCACTGTGCTTACAGTGATATCATTGAAGATTACACCTGAAATGTTCCTTTTTTTAAAAAACAAAAAATGACATAGGAGTGTGCGTAATTTTTTTTTAAGGCTCTGGAAAATATAAATATTTTGAGCGGCAACATTAAGAGGTTCTGGGACCTGCAGTAAAAAGCACACAATGCCTGGACCGAAACAGCAGAAGAGTTGGGTGGAATTCAGCATTTTGTCACTTTTTTTTTTTTTTTGAATTTCAACTTGCTCTTGTCAAGATATGTCATCTCTGGGCCTACAGCCAGGAAGCGGGAACGGCTCTTTAATGAGCTACGGATTTCCTGCAACCCAATCCAGAAATTGGGCTTTGGGGAGGACGCAGAACACATTAAATTGCCCGAGGAAACAGCCGTAATCATCGCTTTCAAACGGAAAAAGTTTCCTGGAACCAAAACGGCGGAGACAGATCCCCGTTTCGGTGTAACCCCATCCGGGAATGGAGCCCAGCCAAGCTTCCTGATGGCGAACTGTCCCAGGTTGAATAGGCCATCCTTCACAGCTGGCCGAAACCGAGCGGATCTTTTCCAAGAATCGAATTAAAAAGCCGCTTTTTCGGACAAAGGGCGGCCGTAGAAATATGGGAGATAGGAAATAAGAACTTTCTTTGTAGAAATAAGAACTGTTTGTTTGTAATACATAAATGGGAGACCCTGAGCCCAGATGAGCAAGTGGAAAGAATTCCTGTCTTGGAACATTAAGAACTGCACCCGAACTTCCAAAGCAGCCAAACTGAACTGCAAACACATCCAGATTTGACATTACCATTTCCTTTTCATTGAAATAAAAGCAGTTAGGTAACGTTCTTTGCAAAAAGTCTGCTTTTTTCCTGGGGAAGGAATGAGAGAGAAGCTGATAAAGGCAGAGAGAGGAGGGGAGGGAGGAGGAAGGAGGAGGAAGGGAGGAAGAGAGGGATAGAAGGAGAGAGGGAGGGAGGGAGGGAGGAAGGGAGGGAGGAGGAGAGAGAGAAGAGGAAGGAGGAGGAGGAGGAGGAGGAGGAGGAGGGGAGAGAAGGAGGGAGAGAAGGAGGGGGAGAGAGAGAGAGGAGGAAGGAGGAGGAGGAGGAGGGAGAGAGAGAGAGAGAGAGAGAGAGAGAGAGAGAATGTTTCTATGAACTTGCCCCAGGGATAAATCTCACTCAAATCAATTGTTTACTTCCTTTATTTGTTTGTTCATTCGTCCAATTTCTATTCTTTCATTCATTCAATCAATCAGTGACCCTTGGTAGTTCACAGTTCTAAAAACTTAAAAAAAGGTTAAACCTAAAAAAAAATTAAAACAATAAAAGCATCCAAAGTAAATATATACATCGTATGTATTTATTTGATTTCTACAGATTTATTTTCTTATTTGCCTCTTCGTTCATTCGTTCATTGATTATTTATTTATTCATTTACTGAGGACATTTATTTGATTTCTTCTGTCTATTTCACCTTCCACCCAAAGAGTTTAAAAGGGGGGGGTGTCCTAGATATTCTTCCTCCACAACAGGAACACCTCAGGTCCTCAGTCATTCCCCCCCCAACAATGACCTCCAGCCTCTTTGAACATCATCCAGTCATTGCTGTGTCAAAATTTCAATTCATGTAGACAGACTTTACTAGGTCATGTCAACAATGGCTGGACGTGGCTGTGAAGATTCTGTAAGTTACTGGTGTGGAAACTATCTTACTGTCAGGCACAAAGAGTCAGGACCATCCGTGAGACTGCAGCACACAAGATTTATTCAAAAATCTAGTCAACTAAAGTTCTGAGCTTGGTGGTTTTCTTGCAGATATTTCATTATCCAAACTAGGTAATATCATCAATGCTGGTGATGTTAGCTAGTTTGGGTAATGAGAGGTCTGCAAGAAAACCACCAAGCTCAGAGGGCACCAAGGACCCCACAGTTCCAGTAGTAGTTCTCCTCCTCCTCCTCCTCCTCCTCCTCCTCCTCCTCTCTCCCTCCTCCACTCCATTCTAGTGTTACCTAGTTGGGTAATGAAAGGTCTGCAAGAAAACCACCAAACTCAGAGAGCACCAAGGACCCCACAGTTCCAGTAGTTCTCCTCCTCCTCCTCCTCTCCCTCCTCCACTCTATTCTAGCACTGATGATGTTACCTAGTTGGGTAATGAAACATCTGCAAGAAAACCACCAAGCTCAGAGAGCACCAAGGACCCCTCAATTCAACCCTGCGCTACAAATATTCTCCTTTATTGGCAGTAAATTGGCGCCAGAGAAGGGTCAATGGAATTCAAGTTGGATTGGACTTGGGACTGCAGGTGGGAACGTAATTCCTCTAAGCTGATGACGTGCTTAACTCCATCCCCAGCTCTGCCTGCTTTTCTTCTCCATTCCTCAGCTTCGTGGCAAAATGGAAATGGAGAAATGGCTCCCTTCCGGGCTGTTTCAAACACTGTATTGTGTTGTCTCTCATCTTCTCTGCTGCTCAGCTCATTTGCCCTTGTTCTTAATCTCTCACCTGCAATATGTAGCTCTACCCTCTACTTCAGAGCTGCTATTTCGATTATAATGATCATAAATGCCAAGTACTCAATAAATGTAAAGCATGGATATTAAAGTGCAGAGGTTTATGTGGATATTCTTATAAATAGATGATTCATAAGACCAAGTTAATGTTTTGAGAGCTATGACGAGCTCTCTTTGTTCTTAATATAGCAATATCCACATGGACAATTTCTTTTCATTAAATGTCCTACACGGGCATTACTCTCCATCTACAGCAAAATTCCACATTAATGCACCAGTGGTATATTAGAGGTCATAACTGAAACCCAGTCATCACAGCCATTTGTTCTCTTTCAAAATATCCCAAACAAGATTGACAATATACTGCCAAACATGGAAATGAACAAAACGTTGATGGCAATAACTCAATCAATGGGAAGACAATTCGTCATCTACATAAACTTTACAGAAGGAACCCACAGAGAATTTACAACTTTGTCTCATGGGGAGTGTAGCTAATTGTCTTCACCCCACTTAAAGTTGCAAATGGCATAATTTATTGTTTTGTATTATTCCAATCAAGGAACTACCAATTCAGTCAAACAGCAAACAACAGCCTAAACATGGAACCACCAAGATCATTCCCACCAACAGCGCCAGGGTAAGTTACAAGAATATAAGCAGAGAGAAAGCCCTACTCCCTTCTAGCACTGATGATGTTACCTAGTTGGGTCATGAAACGTCTGCGAGAAAGCAACCAAGCTGAGAGAGCACCAAGGACCCCACTTTTCTTTAGCTCTTTACTTAATATGAACCCTACTAGAGTAATAGACATTGACGCAACGAACATGAATTAGGGCAAACTCTGGGAGGTCTTGGAGAACGGGGGGAAGGAGGCATGCTTTGGTCCATGGGGGTCGTGAAGAGTCGGACACAATTTAGCAACTGAATAACAAAACAACAACAAAATAGTAGTTGCCCTCAGAGCTAGACACATTCAATCTCTGCCTCTTTGCAGTTTCTGCTCTCTTTGTCCAACCGTATGAGAGCTGGTCCTATCCTTTCCTGTCCACTCAGTCTTAATCATCTTGTAGAACAGGACCAGAAGCCAACACCGAAAACATATCCAAGGCGGATCAAAGGAGTATTGTCTCAGCCCTGTTTATCTATTCTACAGGGAGCTGCAGAGGAATTCACATTTAGCACGGAATTTCCCCAAAATGGAAGTGGCGGCCCCTGGAAGGTGGGGCCGAAGAGAGGAGAAAATAAAATTTTAAAGTCCTACTCACCCACACAGAGGATGTTGAAAGAGAAACCATGGCCAACCGATTTGTTAACCAGCTGGTCAGGCAAGCTATCGAATCCGACATGGCCAGAAAGAGGAACAGTTCGACAACCTTCACCCTAAGATGGTCACAAAAAGGATGCACATTAATGTTAAGTCTCAGTGGTTCAACGTTTTAGATACTGAACATTCTGAGTTTTGGGGTAGATGTTGACTCCTTCAAAGTCCATATTGCTGGACTCTTTTGCTCTTCCTGAATTCCATATACATGCTAGAACAATATTATGCTCTGGCAGAAGAACAGAGGAGAAAAGCTATGGGAAATTTGCCTTGGGGGGCAGGAGCAGGGTCCAGAGTTGAGAAACACGTCACAAGAGCGATAGCATCACACCCTTTAAAGACTAACTGACCTGGAGCAACTTCTGGTAACTTTCTTGCCATGTTCATTTGGCCAATGTCAGTAAGCTCCAAAGCCTAACTTCCACCTAGTAGCTGGAGGGGAGAAGATTCCCAAGAACGGATCTACGGAGACACGGATCTTCCGCATAGCAGGAATGTCCACAGGACGTGGCCAAAAATGTTGCAATGGAAGCTCTGTCTCATTTTTATGTGCGCATCAAAAGCCATGTTTTCGTCATGTAGTCCTGGCCACTTTGAGGTTTTAGATCAGAAATCCCCAATCTTTTGGGCACCGGGGACCGGTTACCTGGAGAGAGGTTTTTCCGTGGACGGAGTGCGTGGTTTTGTGTGCTGCCTGCATCCCGTGGACGGGGCTTTGCTTGTTTGTGCAGACAGGTTGCTGGCATGCTGCGGCCCGGTATTGATCCATGGCCCAGTGGTTGGGGACTCCTGTTTTAGACCATAACCTATGGACCCCCTTGCAAGTGCATTTGTCAACGATTTCTATCCTTAGGAAAAAAAATCCGTTCAACCACCAGGTTTCAGCCCATCAAACTGGACTACAGGATGCAAAAGGAGTTTGCCGTTTTGTGGGTCACGGCTGGAGTTTGGGTTGAGCCAGGCTAAAAGAGCAACTTTGAGCTCTTTTTTCAATTCTGCGAAAGGACCTGATCAGAAATGGGAATGAGGTGGGCCATTTGTAACAAGGATAGCCCTTTCCGTGCTCTTTTGCATTCATAAATCACAAACGCAATGCCTGTGAACAAAACATTGCCTCCAGCATCAAGGAAAGGGGTGCACTTCCTGTCGTGGGAAAGTTTTATCAGCCCCCCCCACACACACTATTTCTGCTGCCCTACGAAGGAGATTCATCATCATGTAAGCGTGTCGCTGCAACTTTAAAATTGATGCACAGGAAATTCAGAAAGAACCAAGACTGTTTTTTCAAACTTGGCAAATTTATGATGGGTAAACTTCAACTCCCAGAATTCTGGGAATTGTAAGTCCACCCATCTTCCAATTGCCAAAGCTGAAAAACACTGCTTTAGAGTATTGGATCACCCACTTGCCTACCCTAATTGTTTCCCTTTCTGTCTGCAAAAAGTCCATGATTAAATTCTACGGAGGGAAAAACAAAAAAAGAACAGGAGAAGTGACTGTTAGGAAAGAAAGAAAGAGCTGGTATGGTTTTCCCTGCTAGCCAGGAAGCTTGCTGTAAGGTGCATTTACTGGAAAATATATCCAATTATAAGAGACCAATTACAAAGGTTCCTGCTGCGGTAATTAGCACCTCTCTGCATTTTTCAATCTTCAGAGCAGCGCCAAATAAACGGAGTTTTTGTCCACACACAGAAATGCAGCAGATTCAAAAATCACCCCTTGAAGCCTGAGAAAGCAAAGGGTTCGTTTTAGGCGGGGCATAAAAAATCAGTTATTTTTTTTTCCAGTGAATGCTTCACCTCTTCGTTAACGTCTAATGGGATCCTGTACCTCAACCGTCCCCGAACCTGAAAGCTCACAAACATGTCGGTTTTGCAACCTCCGCTTTTTCTGTGCAGACTAGGAAATCTGGAGGGATGTTAACACCCACACATCTGGCGAGGGGCAGGTGAGGGATGGCTGCCTTTGCTGTGGGAAGCTGCTGAAGCCTGCAAGGGTTTGTTTCGAGTGGAGCAAGCATGAAACTCACTTCCTGTGAGTGAGGTTTCCTGTTTGCCTGTGGTTGCTCTCTCTCTCCCTTCAAAAAAGCAGTGAACAGTTTGCCGTAAACTCTAATAATCAATGGATATAGAAAAGTCAAGTTTTCCTCACCCAAACTCAACTCCTGGCCTAAACAAATGTTTTTCTGGCACAATCTTTCTTTCTTTCTCTTTCTTTCTTTCTTTCTTTCTTTCTTTCTTTCTTTCTTTCTTTCTTTCTTTCTTTCTTTCTTTCATTCCGCTCCTTCCCTCCTTCCTCCCTCCCTTCCTTTCTTCATTCTCCTTTTTTCCTTTTCCTTCCTTCCCTTCCTTTTCCTCCCTCCCTCTCTTTTCCTTCCTTCCTTCCTTCCTTCCTTCCTTCCTTCCTTCCTTCCTTCCTTCCTTCCTTCCTTCCTTCCTTCCTTCCTTCCTTCCTTCCTCCCAGATAGGCGTCCTGGAGTAGACACTGATTTTGGTCAACTTGGGAAATGTTCAGCTGAAGGCCAAGCGCCACCAATATCGTACTGCCAGCAGTGAGGGGTATAATCCGATCCTTTTGTCTTTATCCATTTTCGGTGACTCACTCATTCGGTATCCGAGAGGAATCAGTTTAGGATTTTCAATAAAAGCCCTTGACACACACACACAAAAAAAAATAGAGGCGATGAGATACGCGGGGATGTTTTCGAACATTTTCCCCAACTGTGCCAAGCTAGGAGACAGAGATGAAACGATGCCAACTTTATCCCTGGCACTTGAGGAGACTTCTGCATAGAGACTGGGTGGCCCTAGAAAGTTTAATTATCCATCAGAAGAAAGGGCAGCTTTGAGGCCCTTGAGAGGAAGAACTGAGATTCGTAGGAAGAGTAAAGAACAATGTAAACATTAATAATTGCAGCAGAAAGGAACTGACTGGATGGTCAGGAGCAGTTTGGCCATTTCAACTACTGTTGACCTAGCACTGTCTTCCAGAATCCAAGTAGACCACAAGAAAGTTCTCCAAATCACCTTTACAAGAAGTAAAGAGTGGAAGCTCCTTAGAGATCCAACCTAGAAGAAAGGAGAATTCTCTTGATGGTGAGAGCAATTAACCA